GCAGGTGGTGGGTGTCTGGGCTGTTCCCACTTTTTGGCTGTCACGCGTCATGCCGCTCCGAGCATCTGCACACGGGTCTTTGTGTGGACACGATCACCTGTCTCCTGGCTGCGTGTCTAGGGGTGAACTGCTGGGTCCTAGCCGGCTCTCCCAGCAGCCACATTCCCTCAAGGCCCCTCTTCCTCTTCAGCTTCATTGAGAATTCTAGTACCTCGAGTCCTCAGTCCTCTTCTGAACACACTTCTTCCCATCAGATGCGGCTGGCTCTCCCTAACTGCCCGAAGCCTGCCAGGTGACAGATTCCACGTGCGCGTTGTACGTTGAGTGGTGGGAAGTTGTAGGTATTTAGTTTCTACTATTTGCCAATGAAGATTTCTTGGTCTGACTCTGCACTGAAAAGAATTATAAGTCATCTCCAAGAGTTATTACTTCCTCAGATTATCTGAACATTTTTGCTTGTTTATAAAGAAAACATAGCGTGATATTGACCGTATTTGGAAAATTTTTAGACATTCAACGGTTACAGTTAAGTGACAGAGATAAGCTACGGTGAGAAAATACTTCTGCCTAGTAACGCAGATATCCGCTGCCAATGTTTTCATTTCCTCTAAACAGTCATTTAAGCTTTCTGTTCTGGAACGGGCTTCATGTTTCTGCAGTATTCCAGGGTCTGTACAAATAACGTAGAAAGCAGCCAGGCTGACCAGAAAGGCACAGTCTTCGTTGTATTCTCATCAGTGGCTCTGGTCTGGTGGCGCAGGGCTCCAAAACAGCACGGGCAGATCCCATCCAGGTGGCCGTGTTTCCGTGACAGCCTCGTCGCGAGGAGATGCACAGCGGTGCTTGCTCCGTGGCGCTTGGGTTTGCAGAGATGCAGATGACTTCTCGTGGTGATACCACACGTGTCTTATGAGTTCTTAAGGCTGGCATGATGACAAACACACGACACATTCCGATGAGGCGTCGGATTTTGTAAGATTTTCTACCTGGACATACAATTGTATTACCCAGGTCGCTGAATTATTCTTAGAGATCCGAATCAAAATGATGTCGAGCTGGACTTTTTGTTTTTCTTGTTTTTTTTTTATTTTTACACAACTCAAAGTACCTAAGCTGGATTCTAATAGACTAGAGTTTAGTAAAAATCTGTCGGTGAACCCTTCCTACGGCTATTTCCTGGGCATAGCAGACCAAAAGCTATGAATAAATAGTGATTAAATATTTGAAGTAATACTCTGCTAATTTTAACTATCGAAAAGGAAACCTCCAAAGTAGGAGGCCTCCTTGCCACCTTCTCTTCCTTCAAACGCTCATCATGGTCGTGGAAGGTGAGGAGTGTATCGTTGTCGTTTCAGTTGTGTGGGTCCAAGAGCAGACCACTCCTCCGGGCCAGTGTCTTCCGTGCACTGTCTTTTCTGACACGCTGGGTACGCTTCAATGGAGAGTTTCTCGCCAGCTTTAATTCACTGCAGACCGTTTCACCCTAGGCGTCCGCTGCAGACAGCCATGATTCAAGACGGCCTCATCTTCTGGCTGGTCGATATTCTGAAAGACCCCGACTGCCTGTCTGACTACACGCTGGAGTACTCGGCGGCTTTGCTCATGAACCTCTGCCTCCGGAGTGCAGGTCTCACAGCCTCCTGTCCCCGTGTCCCCTCCCTTGGGTGCAGGAGAAGGGACAAGGTCCCGACCTCGAATCTGGGTTACCCATGATGAGCCTGAAGGGGCTCACCTTTCGTTTCCTTTGTAGAAAAAGCATTTGCAGCCAGGTAGAAAGCTGTCGAATCCCTGAAACCAAAATACCATCCCGGACTCGGGAAGACTGTTTGCTGTAGATGTATGTAGCACCTGCATTAAGAGGAAATTAAATTAGTTTCCGATTTTTTTTTCATCTTCATTGCATTCTTCAAAAATGGGAAGTTTAGAATTCCGATCACTTTCATTTGAAGACAGAGAGGTATATTCCCGAGACTTTAGAGGCTTACGTTGGTGGCAGGGCAGGGAGATGGACCCGTGCTGCCTGCCCTTCCTTGGTCACCGTTGTTTCTCCACTGACCCCCGGAGGTGGACAGCACAAGTCATTTGTGAACTTGGTCAGTGGAGGCAGTGATTTTAGCTTGCCTACAGGTTCTGTCCCATTTAAACGACATGGTACCTGGGATAGGAGAAGTTTCTTTAGAGGAAGTGCCAAGTCCAGCCCGCGCCTGACCGCAGTCCAAGCAGCCCCAGTGCTGGGAGGACGTTGCCTGGGTAAATCGCTCAGGGGTGTTTGTTATCACCCTCGGATGCTTTGCAATCTGAAGCACTGTGTGTTGTTGACTGAGTAAATGACTACTGCAATCTTCTTTTTAAAAAAATAGCCTGTGCAAAACGGCCTAGCTGTAAAATAATTGTTAGATTACAATCAGCTTTTCCTGTTATCATCAGTTTATTTGCACTGAGTGTTATAAGGATGTTTCGATTGCTGAAAATACCTGTGTGATTTTGACGATGTTGGTCTGGGCACCTGAGAGGCAGAACGCTGCTCTGTGATTCATTGTGCTCTCACTGTGATGAACAGCTCTGTGCTCTGCCTGAATAATAATAGCCGCCACCATTTACTGGGCCCTTGGAGTGTGCCAACCTATACCGAGTGATTTATTTCTCCATCACCCTTTGAGGTAGATACAGATAATCTCCAGGGAATCCCAGAGGAAGAAAATGGGGCCCAGATTGCTTACGCATCTCACTTAAGGTCACGTAGCTCATAAGCAGGGGAGCCCAGATTTGTATTCAAGTCGGCCTGACTTGGAACTGTGTCGTTGAGTTTAGACATGTCATGTCATGTTTTTTTTTTTTTTCTTAAGGGAAGAACGTGTGTGCCAAGGCAGCCGGCCTCGTGCTGAAGGTCCTTTCAGATCTGCTGGGCCATGAAAACCATGAGGTACTCAGCCAGCGCCGCTGGCCCGGGCTGGGGCGGGGCCGGGAGTTCGTGCGCCCTCCCTCCGGGTGTCCGGGTGTTCCCGTTAGCTGGTCAGAGCTTTCTCATCTCCGAACTCCAGCGTGTGGAAGCAGAAAGCCATCGCCCCACTGCGCACTCCCTGGCACGCTGCCAGCGCTGCCCCTCCCAGCCCGTTACCTTTCCTCCCTGTCACCTCTCATTCCTCCCTCCGCGTCGACACGCCTCTGTCGTGTTTCATGTGTGTCCGTGGACATGCGCACAGTCTGAACACGTGCTCGTCGCTGTGTCTGTGCGTTTAATCCGTATAACTAGTATTGCACTCTAGAGCTCATTCCATTTCTTCCTTCTTTCAAAGCGTTTCAGGACCTTTCCCCAAGGCTTTATATGCACTTAGTCCCTGAGCTCTCGCTGCGTCCAAACAGCCCCCTGTTCCTGGCCTTCCCTCTGCTGCCCTGGGGCTGTCCACTTTGGCTGCCTCCAGCTCTGCTGCCACGGTGGTCCTCGGCGACATCTCCGCACTTCCTGGGTGTGTTGACACTTGTCACGGCCGGATCACCCCGTACTTCAGTCTCGGGGCAGAGTCCTGGAAAATGTCCACCAGAATGGCTGTTCCAGCTTCTGCAGGCACGGGTGTCCTCCCCAGTGGTCGTGTAATTTTCTGAGTTGTTTAGCTTACGGGTCTCAAGTCTTTTTTAAATGAAAGAGGTCTGGATAAACTAACAAAACTAATAAACAATATGATATGTTGCTCACCCGCTTCCTACAAATGCCTCTGCACAAACTGTGGCATCACTTTGCTCCTGAAGTCAAAGCCTCCACAAAATCTGACCCCTTTGCCCGATCAGCTGCAGGGGTGTCTTCGCAGGGCAGGACCGGGCACCGCTGGGCCAAGCAAAGCTCTCGGTTTCCACGCGTCTGTTCCAGTTTCAGACAGACACCCCCGTGCTGTTCATTTCTTCCGCATCGTGCTTTCCTGGCACCCTACCCTCTGAGCGACATGGGCCGCTTTAGCAAGCGGAGGTTTGGCAGCGGTCACAGAGTGCCGTGCCTTTTGTATTTTAAAACCAGGCAGCGCTTAACTACTTACTTCTAGACCTGAACGAAGTCTATTCATTCAGCTGCAGCCTGTGGGGCATGCATTCCTCTCTAAAAGGAAACGCTGGTTTCCAGTGTGGGAACCAGAATGGACCAGAGGGTTCAGATCCTGCCATTAGCCGTTCAGCCCTTGCATTTGCTTTGAAAAAGAGCTGGAAATTCTACCTGTATGTGTTTTAGAGCCTACAAATGTGTTTGCTACACAAATAAATGCTACACGCATGTATTCTATACCAGACAGTTGTGCTCTTGAAAGACAAAGTGTAGAAGCCATAACGGGAAGACGCACGTATTTGATGATACGAACATTAAGTTTTTTTTGTATGGAAAAAGATGCCATAACCAAAGTCAAAATTTTGATAGCCCGAATATGTGAAGAACGCTTATAAATTAGTAAAAGTCAAAACAAAAAAGCAAAGAGAGAAAAGGGGTAAAGGATACATGTAAACAGGCAAGTTATAGAATAGTAAGTCTTGATGGCCTAAAAACACGAAAAGATGTTTTGTTTCTCTCGTAGTCCGGAAAACGAAAATAAAAACGACTCTAAGATGCCCTTTTTTGCCCATTCGCTTGGAAAAAATGAAAAGTGATAAAGTTCAGCTCTTGAGTGTCGAGCACCCGCACGCACCACATCCCGTGCGGGCCTGCTGTTGGGGTTGCCTGTGTGAGGCCAACATGGATCCTGTCCTTGAAGAGGTCATCATGGGGAGGGCATAGATATAAATTCAAAACTGTGCCGAATGGAGGGCTGCCCAGGCGCAGAGCAGAGCTCTCTGTCGGTTCAGGAGAGGCTCCCTCCCTGAACCTGCACGGAGCTCTAGATCCTAGCTCACCAGGTGGACGCTGCCAGGACCAGGGCCACGGCGCGTCACGCTGTGGCGTGGGGTGTCCCTGCAGTGTGAGCTCCACGGTGGCGGGGACGGAGGAGCGGAGGGAAGCGATAGAAGCCAAACCCCGAGGGGTCCTGCACGCTGTGCTAAGGGGGAAGGACTGTCCAGGCGGACTCCACAGACAGTGTCCGAGGCAGGCAGTGGCCTCACTTGGCCCATGTCGTGGAATTTTGGCCATGATATGAGGCTTGGGTTCAAGGCTGGGACATCAAAGGCTGGGACTCATTTGGAGATGCGATGTAGCCTAGGTCTTGGCCATGTTGGCCTCACACAGGCAACCCCAACAGCAGGCCCGCACGGGATGTGGTACGTGCGGGTGCTCGACACGCGCTCAAGAGCTGAACTTTATCACTTTTCATTTTTTCCAAGTGAATGGGCAAAAAAGGGCATCTTAGAGAGAAGGGTTCCTGTCTCCACCAAGACTCCACCAAGGAGAGGAAAAGGAGAGCAGCAAAAAAGGGCATCTTAGAGAGAAGGGTTCCTGTCACCAAGACTCCACCAAGGAGAGGAAAAGGAGAGCGGCTCTGTGATGGCTCCGGAGCGCCTGGCCCGAGTGATCAGGGCGGCGTGAATTAGGCCATGAGACGCAGCAGGAGTGAGCTCTGCGAGGGAGCGGTGAATTTGGTTCCGAACTCCTCGTCATAGCTGTCACTGGGACGTGCAGGTGGAGATGCCTGGCATTCAGAGAGCTGTGAGGACGGTGACACTCTATCCTCATTAGCCGGTGTTCTCAAGAGCGTTTGATAACGGAGTTGTATAGTATTTGAGAACTTGCAAATGACCATGTTTTCTCCCTTGAATCTAAAGATACAGCCGTACGTGAACGGAGCGCTGTACAGCATCCTCTCCATCCCATCCATCCGTGAGGAGGCGAGAGCAATGGTAAGAAGCGCACCTGACGCGTGCGTCAGCCTCTGTCCCTGCCGCAGAGCAGAGCCGCGAGAGCGCGCGCTCCCCAGCCCGGGCTCCGGGCAGGGGCTTGCTCGGAGCTCGCGAACCCCCTGAAATTACAGGCCAAATACGTGTTTGCAATTTTCTGATGAGAATCTGGTTCTCAAGGGATCCCTAGCTCCTCAGTGATTACAAATCAGTTTTAGAAAGTTCCCAGCAGGTTTATTTTTGGAAAGTTGTAGACATTCTTTTCTTTTTTTCTTTTATTTTTTTAAATGACTCACTTAAATTTGGGATTTGGAGAATGCTTATGGATTTCATAGTAGCAGAAACTTAGCAGGAAAATGATGGAATGGAGGAAATCATCACTTAAATTCACCTCCGGGATTCCTGGAGGAATTGTGGCAGCAGTGAGAACTGGTACAATCAAAACACTGCAGACATTTTGGTAGCGACCCAATGGAACGGAAAAGCTGGTGAAAGCGATACTACCAGCTGTTCTTGGTGTGCTTGCCAAGTAGTGAATTCAGAATCTAATGTGCTTACGTCAGTGCTTGTGTGGGACGCATGAAACAGCACTCAGGTGATTCGTGTTCTCTTCTGAGGCGACAGCTGTTTCCAGATCTTGTTAGCAAAACCACTGGAGTTTGTCCTTTTTCCTTACACCATGTGAAACTAGTACGCGTATTAAATGCTGCGATGAAACCATTAAATATGTTTCCAGAGGGTAGATTCAGTTCGAGGCCAACAAACCGTGCTCTTCCACTTCGTTTTGCTTGCTTAGAAAAATTGCTAAATCTTCTAACGGGTCATGTAAATCATCAGTCCCCAACCTCTTTGGCACCAAGGACCGGTGCTCCTATGAGAACCTAACGCCTGAGGATCTGAGGCGGAGCTGAGGCGGTGATGCTGGCGCTGGGGAGCGGATGCAGACACAGACGGAGCTTCGCTCACTCGCCTGCCGCTCAGCTCCTGCTGTGCAGCCCGGTTCCTAACGGCACAGACTGGTACCGACCTGCTGTGCAGCCCAGTTCCTAACAGGGCACAGACCGGTACCGGTCTGTGGCCAGGGGTTGGGGACCCCTGATCTAAATTACTTCATCGGTTATGCCAGAGGTAAAAACTCATCTATGAATCATTCTGTGTGGTCACAGTAAATAATGGGACTTAAGTGTCCACTGCTTTTAAATTTTTTTTAAGAATTGCTTTCTCAACAGAACAAGGGAAAATAAACTTGATTAAATTCTGCGTTGCAGTCATTCGGGTGAAAGAGAGGAATTGCCAACTAAGCAGAGCACAAGGAACAAAACATGTTGTATGCTGAAGGGAAGGGAGGAAGAGAGCCGGCATGGAATCAGAATCACAAAGCAGCGTAGAGGAGGGACCTCGAGGGCAACGAGGGAGAGCGGGCGAGGGAATGGCAGTGGAAGGACAGGGCCCGAGGAGGGAGACTCGCCGTTCAGGGCGAGAGAGAAGAGGGTCCTTAGAAACCATCCGGGCCGGGGAGAGAGGAGGCGGAAGGAAGGGACAGAGCTTCAGGGACCTTTGAGACCCTATCCAGAGGTCACATGGGTGCAACTGTAGTCCCCGCAGGGGAAGGAGAGAGAATGGGGCAGGAGAAATGGGTGTCTAGGAAATCCCCAAACGTTCGGAAATTGAAGTATGGACACTCGTACGAGTTGTCTATTGCTGCATAACAAATTACCCCAAAGCTAAGTGGCTTTAGTTTTTTTTTATTACCGCTCAGTCTCTGTGGGGCAGAAGTTTGAGAGCAGATTAGTGGGATGGGCCTGGCTAAGGATCTGTCCTTAGGTTTCGGTCAGGAGTTCAGCCAGGACAGTCAAAGCTTGACTGGGGCTGGAGAACCCACACGCGGCTGTTGGCTGGGGACCCCATATCCCTGCCACATGGGCCTCTCCTTCGCATGTCTCTCGACACGGCAACTGGCGTCCCCCTGCGTGAGTGACCCAGAAGGACAGAGAGTGAGCAAGACAGAAGCCACAGGGTTTCCATAGCCTGCTCTCAGACGTGAGGTACCGTCGCTCTTACCCTGCTGTTTACACACACCAGCTCTGGTGCAGTGTGGGAGGGGATGACTTAAGAGCCCAAATCCAGGAGGCAGGGGTCCCTGGGGGCCGTCTCAGAGGCTGGCCGCCATACACCTCTGGTCACCTATAGATCTGGGAAGAAGTCACCAGAGGAATAGGGGCTTTCGACACACATTGCAAATATTTTCTGTTTTTCATTTGTCTTTTAATTACAGAGTTTTTGGTCATACGTCAGGTTTAATCATAGTTGAATCTGTTCATTTTTTTCTTTATAGTCTCTAGACAGCCTCTGAATTATTGAAGTATTGACTTAAGAAGAAAACTCGGAGCACTTAGATAAGGGTCTAAGCGGCATCAGCTTCCCTCTGGCTTTTTAACAGGCTTTAAAGTCATCACCCCGTTAGCCTGAGCGGAGGAAGCTCTGGGACAGGCCACTTAAGTGGTTGCCTATTTGACGATTTAGAAGAGAGGCCTCTAAGGGAGGCGATGGCCAGGGTTTTCCACAGCCCCGAGACTTCCCACATTTCACTCTTATCCTTGAGGAAAGTTTTAGATTGATAAAGGAATTACATTCTTTTTGCCCATAACGGTGATAAAGAAAATCAGATAATGAGGAAAACATCTCATCATCTCACCATCGTAATGTCCGCTGGTGCCGGTGCTGGGGGAGTGGTGGCCAAGCGGATGTTCCCAGACCTGCCGGTGTTTGCAGGCTGTGTCGGCACAGACCTTCTGGGGAACAGCTTGGCAGTTTATGTGAGAAACTACTAAAACATCCATTGTTTGGATTCATTTATTTTTCTCTGGTCATTGATGCAAATAAGAGATCTACCAGGAAGATGCTCAATTCAACATTTTTATAACGGTGAAAAACTGGAAGAAACATGATTTCTAGTAATAGAGAAATTGCTAATAAAATTATAGCTCTTTTGCTCAAAAAATTAACAGCTATTGAGGATGATAATTGGGAAAAGCAGAATGAGGCAGTATGGAAATCTTTTATTGTATAATGAGAGATAAAAGCAGAATATGACGTTATAAGAACTCTGTTTTTGCAACTGTATAAAACATTTGTGTACTTGTGGAGAATGACAAATACATAAAAATTTTATTAGTGGCACATTCTATTATGGTGGTCTTAAAAATAATAGCAAAAAAAAAAAAAAAGCAGGAGAAAAAGAGAAATCAGTGTCCTGAGGCCCATTTGAACTTGAAGAGACTGCCAGGGTCTGGGGCTGGAGAGCAGGTCAGATGGTAGGCCACCCTGAGGCCCACACTCCAAAGCCACCTGTGCCAGGGTTGGAGTAAGTGTGGCAATGGAGCTTAGTTCCCCCGGGATCTAAGCCCGGCTGGACATGCTGACCCGGGCTGGGGCAGACCACATGCTCGTCACTTGTGAAGGCTCTGGGTTGCCAGGGAGCTGGGTTAGAAGCCACAGAGCCAGGAGGAACGGCCACACTCCCTAGGGCCACTCCAGTGATACCACCACTGCAGCTTGCACCATGACCCCCCCCCACCAGGCCCACAGCTCACACCTACAGTACCAGAACAAGGACCACCACCCACCTGCCAGAAAGGCATTTGTTCCCCAGTGTGCTGGGTTCTTCACAGTACCCACTGCGAAGTCAGTCTCTCGTGGGTGTATTCGATGAGCAGAATCCAGGCCACGTGCCTGGGGAATTTATTATTAAGAAACTTCCTCCGAATAATCCTCCTAATTACAGAGAAGGAAATTGTGATCCCCCCCGTCCCCGACCACCACCAAGTAACAACCAAGCTAGAGCTGTACCAAAGAGAGCGAATGAAAATGAAAAGCTCTTTCAGTATATGAGCAGATAATCGTTTGCAGGAGTAACGTCTGGGAAGAGCACAGAGAGCCTGATGAATGATTTGTCTCGCTCCACTGGTGAGAATGTCGAGGACAGTGGCACCGATGGGCTAGTGGCGATCCTGACCTTCCGCGTTTTAGGGTTTATCACGCTGCCTTCACTTGATGTGTTCCTCTTCCTCTGGCCCTTCCCGTGGGCAGTGACAGAGAGTGGGGATGTCAGTTTATGAGATACAGTGATGTAAAGTCAACTCTCCTGACAGTGAAGGGCCTGACTCTTTGGTAAGACAATCCCAGGCTTCTGGTCCCACAGGAGCCCGACGCGCCCTCCTTTAAATGCGCATCCCCGGCCTTTCCCCTTCCCCACCACGCCTTCCTGTCTCTGCCTCCTGGTTAAGTGTTAGGTTCTCTAAGGTTCTGTCCTCACCTGTCACTAGGGAACCTTGTTTACTTCCTTGTCTTCAGCTACCAGACCTCGCTTCTGAGCCGCAAACCACTTCCAGGTACAACAAGCGCAACCTCAACCATTTACTGAGCATCCGTGTGCCGGCCGTTGACCTAGCTGCAGTTTTTAGGTGTAATTTACACGCAGTGAAATGCATTGGCCCTACAAGTTCAGTTTAATGCATTTGACAAATGTATACATCTACAAAACCAACACCCAGTTATAGACTTTATTTTTTTTAATCTCTTTTTTTTAATTCCAGTTGTCATCATCGTTTTGTAGTTGAGGAAATCAGCTGGGAGAGGTTAAATAATTTGACCAGAGTCACACGGTTAATTCACAGGGGAGCTAGAATTACAGTCCAGACTTAACCTTTCCAGAAGGTGATGCTCTGCTTTAGGTGATGGAAACTCACCACGTTCAAAACTGCATTTCTTTAAATCAGTTTCAGAGCTATTGATTCCAACTTGGCCTTCATGAAAAAGGAACGTATTGGCTCATATAATTGGAAAGTCCAGGCATCGACTTCAGGCACACCTCGGTCAGGGTTCACATGTCACTACATCCGTTTCTTGGCCGGCACCTGTGGATTCTGCTGCTGCTTTTTGGATTCATTATTAGATAACGCTTTTCCTTCATGGTGGCAAGAAGGCCTCCTCACCTCCAGCCATACATATGCATTCAAACCCTGCAAGGAAAGAGGAAGAGGGGACCTCGACATTCCCCTGGAATTCTGTTAGTCAGTATTGAAAATTACGATGTCGGTATTTTATAAGGAAGTCAGTAATGTACAGTGTAGTGACTTTATGGTTCTTTGATAGAAATAGAATGATGACTGTTTGAACTGAGATTTTATTTCCTCATTTACTTCTCTGAACATATGGTTTTACTTTTCAAAGGCCACATTTGGCCCTAAAATCCAGAAGGCAGTGTAGAAATTTAGGGAAAACACAGCAGAGAAATCACCCCCCACACCGCACCAAAAAAAAAAAATCATATTGCCAAAACTGCTCATCGATGCAGAGAAGAACTCTACCATGTAACGGGAATGCTTATTAAAATTTTGTAAGTTTTTTCCTAAATACGTTATAATTAGTTCAGATAATAAAGAAGAAAATTTCACTGTGAATTATAAAGCGAACAAAAGGAATGTTTAGTACTGAGCCGAGGGATTTTTATCGTGCATGTATAAGAAAGTATTTTGGAGGGATTAGCTGAAAGCACCCCACTGAACTGTTGTTGGCTCCCCCCAAAAACACTGAAGTATTAACTGCTACTCTCTCTGTCCCTCTAGGGAATGGAAGACATCCTTCGCTGCTTCATCAAAGAAGGCAACGCCGAAACAGTCCGCCAGATTGAATTTATCATCAAGCAGCTGAATTCAGGTTCGTGCGATGCAGGAATCTATGGTCTATCTTTTGACTCTTTCACACATGCCAGAAAGACACGTGGGCTTTCGTAGAGGGGATTGTCATCTCTTGGCATTCGTTCCAGAGGCCCAAGTGAACCCGTAGACAGAGGCTCAACCAGGCAGTTAAGGCCAGATCATCCCGAGATCGACAATCTCTCATCACGCTTTGGGCTTCTAGTCAGCAAAAAGAATTCAAAGGCAGTTACAGAAGCCCTCCTCCAACGCGAGCTCCCTTTACACGGCTTCCCGCTCCTAATCTCCCGCCTCAGAAGAATGTCCTAGGTCAGATAAGGGGGACAGGCCCGCCGTTCTAGCACCGCTGTAAACA